TATTATAAAGCACATAAGTTTGTTTAATTGTTATATATATATATAGACTATAGACATGATCAAGTGCACGCGCACTTTGCGAAAATTCAAAGTTTATTTTCTCGAAAACAAAGCCTTAAGCGATAAATATTTATTTTATATTTTTGATGTATTTGTTCATATAGAATCACTCATTTTTCGCTTGTACCACCAGTTACAGATCACCCTGTATATATATATTACGTGTTAATATAATATTTAAAGGAACACACATGACCATGTGAATTTAGTATAAAAAAATTATACTAATGGTAAGCATATATTGCATACATATCCTTTTCTTCTTAGGACGAATTAATATATGTCCTAAAAGGGATGAAATTCTTCTTGCTACGAAGAAATGTCATTACGTGTCGGAAACAATAAGACGTTCTATAATATTTGGAGCAATTTGGCAACATCACGGTCTTCATGATTATTTCTTCGTATATGATAACAATCAACGAGGTATTTTTTTGTAACACAAGCCCTTTTTTCCCCCGTTAAACTTAATCACATTAAAGGGTAATTTGCTTTTGCTTGGATTAAAGGCTAGAGTATAAACTTTTCAAATTAATAGATCAAAATTATTCTAAATGTAATTATTCAATTATTTTACGTAGAACAAATTATTCTCTCCTTATTTCGTCACCCAACCACCACCCATATTGACAATTATCCTTAATTATTACTATCTTTATTATCTTTGGCAATTTCATTGTATTTATCATTTTATACACCTAATTAGCAAAAGAACAAAAAAAGATATTATAACGTATATCTAATATTATATTTAATTGTAATATAAATGATATAAAAAAAAAAAAAAAACATTACAGAACGAATTTCTTTTATTTTGTTTTCCATAAAAAAAAATAATTGTTTTACCATAATCTAACGTCTTATGTAATTTTATTATCGAATGGATATATATACCCTATAAACTCATACACCCACGCACGACACATAATTAATAAAAGGAAAAAAAAAAAATTACCAATCCTAGTAATTATATATGTTTTACTTTATAAGAAATGAATTATTACTATTACTATTATTTTAAAGTATATGTGAAACAAAATAAAACCATAAAAACAAAAAATATATAAAATTAAAATAACAAGTTTATTGTAAGAAAACCAAATTATTTCGAAGCATTGTGAATAAATAGAATTTAATCGTAGGAGGAGGCAGGGGGAGGACATATAAACGAGTTTAATATGTGTAAGTGTGTGTTTGAACACACATGCAATCAGGAGTAGGGGGACCTTGTCCAATCGAGCGTAGAAAACAGTGAAAGTATAGAATATGCAGAAAGAGAAAACTTGTACACACGCACACACACACACGTATTATAGGATACGTTCAATCGTTATTTAAGTTATGTATATACGTACATGTGTAGGTTGTTGTTAGCAATTGGAAAAATGTTTGCATTAGATATAAAACGTGACTCGGTTAAAACTCGCTTGCCAATACGAACGGTCAGCTGCTCGTAGGTTGAATAATAACACACGTCTTTTTCTCTCTTTCTATATCTTTATCACTCTCCTTTTTATATATATATCTATGTCTATATCTCTGTCACATTATCCTATCCTATCCTTTTCTATTCGCATATACAACACGTTCGCAGATATCGAGATAAAATTTGGAATTTGCAGTTTATATTCTACATCGATATATATTTACATACATATGTATGTGTATATGTCAGACCTTTATCCTATTAACGTGTTAATTTTTCCGTAGTATTTTTTTTTTTTTTGTAAATAATTAACAATAATTTGTAATAAAATAATTAAAAATAATTTTCAAATAATTAAAATAACTTCTTTATTTATTTACTGTAAGAGTATATTTCTAAACAAATAATTTACTTATCATATATCATCTCTTATTCTATCTTTTTTCTTTTTTTATCTTTTTTTTTTTTTTTTGGTTTACTTCGAAAAAGGAGAATAATTAAATGAACGAATTATATTATATAAACAACAAATTAAATAGATTTTATGAAAAATAATATAGAAGTTTAATTAAAAAGAGCTTTGGAATGTTTCGGGTTTCAGAGTGGGGAGAGACATATATATATATATATATATACATATATTTTTTTTTCTCTAAAATAATATCACAAACGTGTATTATACAATCGATTCAAGACCACTAGACACACTTTTATTCAAATTTATTATAACCGGTTACGAAATATACTCGCATAATTATCACCTGTTCAATAATGTCGTGCAAGAGAATATGATGTAATTTGAAAAGTAGATAATATATTATTCTAATGTTGCAACGGTTGAGAACAGTTTAGTTTAATTAAATTTGTTAATTAAAGTCCCCACAGCCGTCTCCCCTAACCACCCCCCTCCCCTCCCTCCCCCCAACCACCCTAGGGAGCCGACGTATGACCGATGCAAAGAGACGA